GGTGTTTTCCAAGCCACCTGGAGATCCGGATCTAAAATCTGAAGGCCATTTCTGGGCGTTGATGTTCCTCGTTCTAGGCGGAGTCGAAGCGGTTACTATGATTATTCAGGTGATGAGAGTCTAAATTTGTGGGACGCGTTTTCCGTTATCAAATCCTTCACCTTCAGTGTTTCTTCTTTGGAATGTCAGCCGAAAAATTGACGATGCGTTTGCGATCAAAAGTATTCCACAATGTGATGAGAATGGATGCCACCTATTTTGATATGCCTCGTCATTCACCAGGGAAAATCACCACCCGATTGGCCACAGATGCTCCCAATGTCAAATCTGTAAGTATTTCATCCCTTTTTAATGTTTTTACTTGGCATAAATAAGAAATGCGCATCGTGGATTTTTAGGCAATTGACTTCCGTTTGGGGTCCGTATTCAACTCTTTCGTCTCAGTTTGCAGTGGCATCGGTATCGCTTTCTATTATGGTTGGCAAATGGCTCTTTTGGTAAGGATTGTTTGAACAAATGAATCTGAGCTTATCTTTCATTAGATTGGATATCAAAATACATTTGCCTTGGATTAGCAACAGCTCCATGTTTCAGCACTTTTGAACGCAGAAATAGAGCTATTTTTAACTGAGTTGAATCGCTATGTGAAGTTGACCCACATTTGTAATTTTTTCCTCTAAGGAATTTATAAATGGCTTGTAAGATAGAAACTACAAGAATGACTCATCTGAATCTCACATTCAGACGATCGCGATTTTCCCATTAGCTGGTGTTGGACAAGCTATCCAAATGAAATTCATGTCTGGTCGAGCAGGTGGTGATGCTAAGGAAATGGAGAATAGTGGAAAGGTAATGTGACTTCTAATTTGCTTGAAAAATCCCTATTGATGATTTTGCTGGTAGATCGCTATGGAAGCTATTGAAAACATCCGTACTGTGCAAGCTCTGACTCTAGAACATCGCCTGCATCATCAGTTCTGCCGCCATTTGGACGGGCCTCACAAGACAAGCAGGCGGAGGGCAGTTATGCAGGTCGGAATCCTATCGTTTATTTCTTTCCACCTAATGTCTT